CAAACTGACCTTTTCCAATCCTGTGGCCACTGCTGCGTTTTCCAAATTTGCTGGCATATTGAGTGTAGCACTTTTACTGCATCGTCTTTTAAGATTTTGAATAGATCAGCTGGAATATTGTCACCTCCACTAGCTTTGTTATTGCTCAGACTTCCTAAGGCCAATTTGACTTCACATTCCAGGATGTCTGGCTTGAGGTCAGTGACCACCCCATCATGGTTATCAGGGACGTTAAGCTCTTTCTTGTATAGTTCTTCTGTGTAATCTTGCCCCCGCTTCTAAATCTCGTCTGCCTCTGTTAGGTCCCTGCCATTTTGGTCCTTTATCATGCCCATCTTTGCATGAAATGTTCCCTTCATATCTCCAGTTTTCTTGAAGAGATCTCTGGTCCTCCCTGTTCTATTGTTTTCTTCTATTTCTTTGCACTGTTCATTTAAGAAGGCATTCTTATCTCTTCTAGCTATTCTCTGGAATTCTGCATTCCATTGTTTGCATCTTTCTCATTCTCCCTTGCCTTTCGCTTTCCTTCTTTCCTCAGCTATTTGTAAAGCTTCCTCAGACAGCCATTTTGCTTTCTTGCATTTCTTTTTCTTTGGGATGGTTTTAGTTGCTACCTCTTGTACAATTTTGCGAACCTCTGTCCATAGTTCTCCAGGCACTCTGTCTATCAGATCTAATTCCTTAAATCTATTTGTCACCTCTACTGTATATTCATCAGAGATATGATTTAGGTAATCCCTGAGTGGCCTAGTGCATTTCCCATCTTTCTTCAATTTAAGTCTAAGTTTTGCAACGAGAAGCTCATGCTCTGAGCCACAGTCAGCTCCTGGTCTAGTTTTTACTGACTGTATAGAGCTTCTCTGTCTTTGGCTGCAGAGCACATAGCCAATCTGATTTCTGTGTTGATCGTCTGGTGATGTCCATGTGTAGAGTCGTCTCTTGGGTTGTTGGAAAAGAGTATTTGCTATGACCATCGTATTTTCTTGACAAAATTCTACCAGCCTGTGCCCTGCTTCATTTTGTACTCCAAAGCCAAACTTGCCTGTTATTCCGGTTATCTTTTGGCTTCCTACCATAGCATTCCAATACCCAGTGACGATAAGGACATCATTTTTTGATGTTAATTCTAGAAGGAGTTGTAGGTCTTCATAGAACCAGTCAACTTCAGCCTCTTCAGCACCAGTGGTTGGGGCATAGACTTGGACTATTGTGATGTTGAATGGTTTGCCTTGGATTCGAATTGAGATCATTCTGTCATTTTGGAGATTGTATCCTAATACTGCTTTTCTTACTCTTTCATTGACTATGAAGGCTACTCCATTTCTTCTGAGGGATTCTTGCCCACAGTAGTATATCTGATGGTCATCTGAATTGAATTCACCCATTCCTGTCCATTTTAGTTCACTCATTCCTAATATGTCGATGTTCAGTCTTGTCATCTCTTGTTTGACCACATCCAGCTTGCTTTGATTCATGGATCTTACATTCCAGGTTCCTATGGAGTAAAGCTCTTTGCAGCATTGGACTTTCCTTTCACCAGATACACCTGCAACTGAGTGTCCTTTCAGCTTTGACCCAGTCACTTCATTCTTTCTGGCGCTACTAGTACTATCCTTCTGCTCTTCCCCAGTAGCATATTGGGCACCTTTCGACCTGAGGGGCTCATCTTCCAGCGTCATATCTTTTTGCGTTTTGGTACTGTCCATGGGGTTTTCATGGCAAAGGTACTGGAGTGGGTTGCCATTTCCTTCTCCAGTGGATCACGTTTTGTCAGAGCTCTCTGCTATGACCTGTCCGACTTGGGTGGCCCTGCATGGCATAGCTCATAGCTTCATTGAGCTATGCTAGCCCCTTCGCCACGACAAGGCAGTGATCCATAAAGGAGGGCCTGGCAGTAGAAGGAACTAAACATGGTTGCCACCCAAAAGAAATTGGAGAAAAAACCCATACCAAACTGGATTGGAAGATGCTGATATGTACATCTCATACTGCGAATTTACACATGCATCAGCCCACTAAGTATCATCAAAAACTGCCTGTTGGATATAAATGATCATTAATAGCACATCTAGCAATAAATGCATAACTGATTATTAGGTTTCAGAATTCCTTAAAGTAACATATACAAAACCCTTCCACCTGCACAGGAGGAAATAGCTATTTTCTTGCCATAAGCGACACATTCCAGATTGAGAAGCATTGGGAGGTTGCTTCAGAATGAGGTATTCATTGTATTGCCACTCTGCCTCAATCATGGAAGTTTACAGGAGGTCCAGAAAGCAACATCTTCTATTCATAGCCCTCCTGTTTTCTTTCGACGTATTCCAACATTTTTCCTTAATGCTTACAATCCACTAAGGAGAAAAGGATGGAATTGCTGCAGAATGCCATCTGATTGTTAGCACTAGGATGCTTCCTCCTAGAAGCACTTGTATTATCTCATATAAAACAAACCAACCTAAATGTATCAATGGCTAGTTCAACAATCCCAATTGGAGTGGAGAGGGAGTGATCAACCACTTCCACTCATGCCGGCCATGACAGAAGATGAAAGATGGTTAATATTTCTCCTGTTTTCCACCCCATCTTTTACTGCCTGCCTAACATTTTTTTAAAATCCCCTCCACTGATAGCAAGGTAATTCCTCCCACCTAGCAATCTCAGACTAGTTTAATTGAATGGCTAGTCCTTGGACTTCTCAGGCATATGAAGGTGCTTTTCACTGAGAAGATCTAAGCCCAGTCCCAGCCTACTTCTGTAATGTCTGTGTTCAGAACTACCACTGGTGCATAGAGTGCCAGCAGTAGGGCTTTCCATGGACACAACTGGCCCACCTGGTTGGATGCTCCCTCACCGGAGGAGCTCTTTTCTGCTGAGGTAGATGTACTTCTACCCTATCATAACCTCCTCTATACAGCAGATGTGGGAATTAGGATCAGACGGACAATCTTTCCTTTTTTTCTATTCAGGGCTATAATCCTTCATGGGTACGTTGGAAACACATGTAGGCACTGAGCAGATCTGAAGCCAACAGTGGGCAGGGGTAGAAGCAAAAGTAGGTAAGTTGGCCACCTTTTTTTTCTTTCTGCTGCTCTCTTTCTCTTTCTTTTTCACCCTTCCTACACTGCAGACTGCCAGAGAAGCAAACAGATCACTGGGGCCAGCAGTCTGACCATTTCCGTTGCAAAAAGTCACAGAATAACTAACGGCAGTAAGCACATACCATGACCATGTGCAGTAGAGTGCACTTTTGATAAATAAACCTGCCTTCTTTAAATTTCTAATTGCTTACAAATTATTCTGAAATAATCAGTGCTATATGTAATTTTGAAAGCAGAAGGAACACTTGCTGCAAACGTAAATTAACTCACAGATTATAATAGTTATTTATAGCTTTTAGACTATCAAAGACATTGTTGAAAGTAATTTGTATTCAACTTAAGGATGTAGGAGAATTTGTTTGCTTCTTTTTTTAAAAAAAACAGGATTTACCTTCCACACTGAACATGGATTTCATATGTATTTGAACTTTCAAGGTGGTTTGTGAACCCCTTCAAATATGTTCAAGGGAAAGTATACATGTATGAAAATGTGTACTTTAAAAATTGCACACAATGCTTTAATCAATGAGACAATAATGCATATATTTCAAAGAGGTGGACAACTGATGCATTGTTTTAAAATATGCATGCAAATATGGATTTTCATGCAACAACAAAACAAAACTCACAATCTAGGCAAAAACATTTCTCCACCCATTTTAATAATTGATCTTAATTATTGATTTTAGATGTTCATTAATGTTATTGAAATTTTAGTAAATGTGGCTGTTTATCTCAGCATGGCATATTTTGAATGATCTTGATTATATTATAATTATCAATTTGCAATTTATATTTTAATGATAGTTTTAATTGTCTAGTTGTAATTCTGCTGTTTTACACTCCCTAGAGAGTCTATCTGAACTACTTGTTAGCTTATAAACATAAATACATACATCTGATATGATCTTATGTTGGAACAAGCTTCCAGGTGGAATTTTGAGAACTTCACTGAGCTCTTTTCTGATTCACACAGATTAATTCAACTTGCTTTATTTCTTTCTTATAAGTCCCAAGGATGCAGGTGGATGCGTGAAACTAGGTACTCATATGGCACACTAAAAAAAATCTATTTTTAAAGCAGGAGCAAAAATGTGTAAAACAGATGACAGAGTTGTAGCTGATCTAATTTATCTCACAGTACTTGGGCATTCTTGTTAAGCGGCAATCCTATATATACACCTTACTATATACATTTACTTACTACTAGGGCTTATTTCTGACACAATATGAATATCAATGCTCTGGTAATCACATTTCTAGCCACTCTTTCTTCAAGGGTGCCTGAGAGGTGTTTGTGGTGTGCATATGAGATAAAGGTGTGGGAGAGTAACTGTGACTCCACAGCGCTTTGAACCCAGGTATCCCAGTATGTCGAACATTTTGCCCATAAGAGTGGTTCTCTGAAGTTATCCTGGCATGTTGAGCTGCACAGGAGCAGAACTCATAGCAGAAAAGAAAAGGATGGGTAGCTAATTTACACACAGATAAACTAAACTTTGTCAGGAGCTATAATCCTTTGTGTACTGACTCAGTATCAAGCATTTATAGAAAACAATAAATGGATCTAAAAGTCAAGAATAAAAATGAAATACTCAAAAAAAAACCACTTTCTTAAGAAATGTCAGAGACTATCCTTCACTTCAGTTGTTTCAGAAGCGTTAAGCAAAAGAATGCAGTACATAAGAATCATCAAAAGGGAGCACTTTTGAGCCACTAAAACAGCAAAGCAAGGCTGAAAACTTACATCTCCTAGCTATAGACAATGATAGTATCTCAGGTATTTTATGCGCTAAAATGATCATTAAAAATTAAGCACCACATATAAGCTGCCATTTAGAATATTAATTTACCTTTACTAATCATCTTTTTAACTTGAGGCTAAAAGAGTTCACTTACCATTCGGGTACTCTGGCTTAGTCCAGGAGATGTTAAAGGAGTCAGAGGAATACGACTGGATTTCAGGAGCAGGAATACCTTCTGGAGTACTCTCAGTAGTTACTGCTGAATTAGTTTCGCTTATTGTACATCCACCTCCGGTGCAGGCCTTGAATAGGAAAAAGAAAGAGGGAAAAACAGTATAACAGATAATATAAGTATTACTCCATTCAGAAAAGCCTGAATCCAGGAAATTTTGTATAAACTTGTAGAGATCTTTTATTTTTAAGAGAACAATATGATCTTTTCTTAAGTAGCTGTACTTGTTTGTGATAAATATTTTTCAGTTATAGTTAAACAAAACCTATGAAAGGGCCGGGTTGTGCAGCCATCACAAATCAGTTTCTCCCACTGCCAGCTTTTCCAGGAATCAGAAAAAGGCCTTGACACAGAAATCACTCCTGTGTGAACAGGTAAGGGCTTCATCTGAGAAGAAATGGAACTCAAACATTTTGGGATATGCTTTTGTAAACATTTGTTTCTTTGGCATCCCCCAAAGTCTTCTCGGGTATTAATGAACATCCTGGTATCCTGGTACAAAAGTTGTTTATGAAGGAGATACTGATGCAACTTTTCTTATACATAATGGATAAAAACATGTATTTTATGCTGTTGGTTTCCTTCAAGAGATAAAGTTCAATATTGGGATGAGGAAGAAATTGAAATATAGCAATACTTCCTCTTCAAACATAAAACCACATTTTTAACATGATATAAAATGTACTGTCAGAAATCTGATTCTGAAATTCAAGAATTCTAAGAGCCAACATTTCATTAAAATATTACTTACAAATAATGTGACATTACAAGCTAAAGCGTCAACCTGCTCCCTATTCAAATATCAAACAACATAATCCTGTATGTTATCTCAATCCATGGGAGCAGTCCATCGATGCTGCTGAAAGGCCAGTTCCATCAGTCTGAGTCCTCAAGCTAATTATTATAAGAACTAATGTCTTTCTCCCTGATTCCCTCACCATGCCTGTTTCTTTACCTCCCATGCCTTTTAGAATGTAAGCCACCAGGCATCCCTCAAAAGAGTTCTGTGGTGCTTTTTCTAAGCATTCTGAGGACAAATCATTTGCATCTGGACCAGATAAGACACCACTATATTTATTAGAAGCCCTGTGATTCAGAGTATCATCTGGCCACAAAACTGGTTTCAGTTGCTGCAGCCTGACAATGTGTACAGGATCCTGCAAGGTTCTAGATTGCCTTCTCTGCTATTTACTGTCCATATGAAACTACTGAAGGGTAGTATCTGGAAATCTGGAACACATTACCACCCAGCATTATCAACCTAGCTTTACTCCACCTGAATCAGGTGAGGCCGTGGAAGTGCTAGGATAAGATGAAACCTCTGCAGGTAGGTGGTTACGAGTCCAGGGAATTAGGCTGACATCTTTCAGTGGCGTAGCACAGCCTCTGATGAAATAAGTGCATCCTCTAGTACTCTTTGATTCAGAGTTGTCACTGGAGCACCAGGCAGCCTTAAGGTTGACTGCAACTGGCTAACCAGCTATGGCTGCTCCTGGACTTGGATAAGCCAGCAGCAATTGTCCATGTTGGACAACTTCCTAGCACCCAACTATGAAACTCTCTTCGGATAGAGATTCAGCGGTCCTCCATGCTGCTGCTCATTTAGAGGTTATTTATCTGTGCACGCTTTTGGATATAAGTAATTCTGTTTGTGTTTTGATGGATTGTGTTGATGGCTTTATTTTTATCATATATTTATAATTTTAGAATCATTCTTTTACAGGATTTGACTGAATGTGGCAAGTTATAATTTGGTGAACTGCAATTGTTATTACATTCTAATTATCAACTGCAGGATAAAGGCAGAAGGCATCCCTGTTTCAAACACCAGGGCCTGTGGTGATGGAGCTGGAAGGAAAACTGAGGCTTACTCAGGCAAGGGTGAGACACTCGGCAAGATGTGCCATGGCCAGAGGTGAAAGTAGAAGCAGGAACCAACAAGATCAGATAACAACAAGGCATAGCAGATCCAGAGGCACAAGAAAAGTCAGGAGCAAGCAAGACAGCATCAAAACTTGAGTAAAGCTCTTAAAGGCCCAAAGGGAGGCCCCAGATCAGGAACATGGAGCCACTCCCACAAAGACCCATGCTCTTGTGGCAAAACTGAGTGACTCTAGGAAGTCTTCCATAGAGCCTCCTGTGGCTCCCAGCTGGTCTACATGATTGGACTGGCCTTAGTCCTGCACGAGGGTGACGTTACGTCTGTCAGTACAGACAGTCCCCAAGTAACTAACGTCCAGGTTATGAACTTGTACTTATGAATGAACTGCCATAAATCTTACTAATTTTTTAAAGTTGCAGAAAATCACTATTAGAGAGAGAGAGAGAGAGAGAGAGAGAGAGGCCTCCTAACCTTGCCTTCCTGCTGTAGTTAGTATGAGGCTAGACTGCCTGCCACCTAATTTCTGAATTGTTCTGCAAGCAACCATCTAGGATGTTCTGTGCATTGCCAGCAAGCTGCTGGGCTGGGAGAGAGAAAAGGCTGAAGCCTGCATATCATCCCCCCAAAAAATAACCCAAGATGCTACCAGCGACAGGAAAAATGGTTCCCCACCCCTGGGTCACAATATCAGACTAGAACTTAGGAGCTCTTGGTTTAAATCTCTACCCGGCTATGAAGATGGGTCAGTCATGCCCTCATAGGAGGTTGCATAGGGTGATGTTTATATTCTCTTGAGAACCTTCAAGGAAAGGCAAGGGAAAATTAAAAAGTGCAATGGCATTACTTTTTTAACACAAGAATGACACTAATGACTACCAGAGATAACATGATCAAAAGAAAAAGAGAAGAAAGTTAGGTTGCCCTCTGAGTTAAACTAGATTTTAAAATTCCATTTAACTGGCCACATAATGCTTACTGTTTGGGCAACAGATGCAGCCAGCCTTCCACTTATCCTACAGTCCTTTTCAGCCTTGTGTACACCCAATCAAACCCAATAGGACCTCTTTCTCAGTAGACATGGATAGGACTGCACATATCCCGTCTCACTCATTTCTGTTGGTCCCAGTGTGATAAATTTGTGAAACGTTTGCAGAACTATAGCAATGCACATAATACTGTGCAGTTTTCTGTGCTGAAATACACAAAGGACAAGCAAATCCTATCAGAATGGATTCCAAGCTATCTTTAATTAGTCAGAATGCCCTTGCTTTGGTGGGCTTTGAGTCAGACTCTTATTGTTACTTGAAGGTAGACAATTTCCTTTGTAGTATAATGTGGTGTAATATTTAGAGCATTCGAGAGCATGTTGAGCAAAATGAATGCATACAGAGTGTCTACACATAAATGTAAATGTATTCATAATCAAGAGCAGAATATTTTTCTATGGCATTTATCAAAGCAAATGTCCTTATATAGGTATTACTATAAAATGATGAGAGTGTTTAAAACAAATAGGGACAATCTCATGTTTATATTCAAGATATTTTCAGTTGTACCATGGAACTTAAACTGTTCTCTAATCAAAAGAAAAAAGCAGAATAAAATGACTGCACAAAAGAAGAGCAATGACATTTAAAAGACATCTTAAAATGCTGCTACTTTGCAACAAACACCTATTCTCCTCTTGTATTTTTACATACTCACTTTTATAGGATGTTACGGAAAAAACATGAACAAAAAAACAAGAGTACTTTATACAGAGAATTAAGTTCAGTTGCCGATAAATGTTTGCAGAATTTAGGCACCCTTATGCATTCCTATATGCAGGAATGATGTATGAACAGCTGTCTTTTTTCCTGCTTTCCTTGGGAGTGCTTGACCAAGTTCTCTTGTCTTTCTGAGTACATGCCAAAAGACTGTAATCTCTCTCTTACTAGACTCTTGAAGATTCTTCTACCTTCTGTGGACTCCATGATCTCATCCTTTGCTTTTTGTTTCATTTTCCTCCCAGGCTCACATGCAAGGTGGAAAAGCAACTTTTCTCCTCCCCGCCACCCCATTCCCAGCCATTTTTCTCTTTGGCAACTCCTATAAGAACAGTGTATCAGCAGCATCAAGATGACAAACCCTGAAGTCTTGGACTTCAAAGCCCTGAAGATGTTTGTGTTTCCAGGAGGCCCTGGGCTCCTGAGTGCCACAGCACCAAAGTGGAGGGAAAGGCAAAGATCAGAGAATACCCATGCCTTTGTTCCATCTCACCATAAACTGGATTGAAAGAAAAACATGGAACACAGGGGGAAGGCAGAACTGGATTGCTGGCTGGCAGGATGAGAGAAAGCGATAGTGATACAGTGTGCAACCAATCCAAGGCGGATCAAAGTGTAAGCCCCAGTCTTAAAGTGGAATTGCCTTGTATTGGGGTGAGCCTTTTTGAAATGGGGAAACCTGTATTTCAAGCTCTTCCACATGCTCAAAGATTCTCTGAACCTCATGTTGTTGCTTATCTCATGCCTGATCACAGCTTGCTGTGTGCAAATGAGAAACTAGTGAAAGTCAAGCAGCAGAAGAGTATATCTGCACAAATCTCACCTTTGTGTAAATCTCACCCAATCTGCAGAAATTTCTTAAACTGCAGATATTTCTTCCATGGACTAAGGTGGGGTTTATTCAGGTTATGAAGGAAATGTGTGCAATTTAGGACATCTGCACAAGTCGGAATGGGAATTGGCTATGAGGTAAACATGAACGTGTGCTCGAAAATCTGTGCATATTTTTGGCAGACTTGTTTCACACTCAGAGCTTCAATTAGGCATATTTTGTGAGCAGAAATGAAATTCTCATATATCTCTATCCCACATCAAATTTACTCCTATCGTTAATGTGTGCTTAACTCTTAAACCACATTCTGCTTTTGTGCTCCATTGCAGAATGCTGGTAGACTGGAATAAAATGAAAATTATAGAATAAAGATCTGGTTGCTTTTACCTACTTTCAAAAGTCTCTATGTATACCACACACACACACACACACAAAATCATTTCCGCAATTGTCCTATTTATTGTTGTTATTATTATTTGCAACTTACCGCCAGTTTAATGAAGTATTTAGTACCAGGAGAAAGGTGTTGGATAGTAAAATCCTGAAAAAGATCTGTAGAATTAAAGATTGCATTCCACTTTGTAATGTTTGTTTCATTGTTGGCAATATAGAGAATGTAGCGGTGCAGATTTCCATTTATTTCCTCTGGTGCTTTCCACCTGAAAACAAATACAACATACATTTGTATTGAAAACAACACTTGCACAGTGGATACCACCACAGAATACTTACTTCTGGCATAATCACATGGCCACCAGGCACTACCTAGTGGGCATGTTGTGAGTGGAGCCGGCTGGTGCCAGAGATCAGACTAGTTGGCCCGGGAGACCCCTTCTGACTCGCTCTGTTTCTATGTTTCTATCTAGATGGCCACTGGAAAAGTCAGAGTCCCAGCTTTGGCCCTGAAAAGCACCCCAAGGTCAGACCCGGGGCACCAACTTTGGCACATTCCGCCTCTGCCCTTGCAGCTGGCACAGAAAGAGCCAGACTGGCTGTGGCTCAGGTGTCAGCAGACCAACTGCAGAGATAGGGCCTTGGGGGCAGGCAGGAATGAGGAATCTATACTATGAGGAACCCTAGCAGTGCCTCAGCCTCCTTCCTTGTAAGCTGTGGGGGAAAATTGACGGCTGAAATCAGCCATCTCGGTATTTTGCAGGGCAGGAGAAGCACAGAGGCAGCCTTCCCGTCTGCACACTTCCTGCTCCCCACAGCATGCCCATAATCCTTTGAATTCAAAGGGTCACCAACAGGGCAGTTTTGGGGAAGTAGTGACTCACATGTAAAGCAAGATGCAGAACTCTTTGATAGCCAGATTGGCATAGTGGCAAGACTCCTGAACTGAAGAGTCAGGAATTTGCATTCTAGTCCCTGCTTTGCCACTGGGTAACTAACTTGGGTCTTGTTAGATATTCTCAGCCTAACCTACCTCACAGGGCTGCTGTAAGGATAAAATGGTGTGAAGGAGGACTATGTAACCTGCCTTGAGTTCCTTGTAAGTGGTAGAAAGGTGAGATAGAAATGTTATGTAATAGCAATAATATTATCTGTAGTTGGGACCCAAATTATGCTGACCATACCTTCAGGGTAAAAGCTATGCACTGAATGCATGATAATGCCATAAGCATTTTTCTCCTGTGCCAAGCTTTGCTCTGAGGCTATGGCCATGTGTAGGTTACACTGATTGCAAGAAGATAAAATGGAAATTAAGTTGGCAAGTGATAATCAAAAGTTCACAGAGCCTCTAAACTAATCACTTCTCTGCATTTAATCATAATAAGTTTGGCTTTATGTTGCAGACCCTATCCCTGATTGATCACACTAGAACTCTTGCATAAACTGAATGATGTGATATATATCTCATGCAGAAAAAACGGAATTTGGTTTACTTGTGAATTTCCATCATCAGGGGTAGCAGGATGGGATGGTATATATGGCTGAGAGCTTTTCCAGACAGGACATTCCTAGGGCCATCAAGCAATATGTTTCCACTGTAGACACAGGTAGAGTCACTGTGCAATTTTCCACACTGCTGGGAGAAAGAGCCACTACATCCTACATCATTTTTTCCACACAAGTGCATGGAGAATGACCAGACATAGAAACCAAACCTCTCTCCTCCCTGAGTCTCTCCCTCCTGCCACATTGTTTGTGTGGACAGGTTGTTGCTGGAATGGCACAATTCTGGAAAATCAAAGGCTCACAAATGGTTTCAGCTTCCTTCACCTTGATTCAATCTTTAAAATTCATGTTTTACCCCTGCATGTGTATGGCCTTCCTTTCCAACCCATGGCTTCCTTTCATCTCAGCTGCACCTGCAGCTGCAAACTGCAGCCACCTCCTTCTCCAGTTCACCAGCTCTCTGATACAGCATCACATCTTCTCCAACCACCCTAAGTTCCCCTGATTGTGGAACATCAACAGCAGGGCTGGTGCTTGGCTGTATCCTGCCACTGCATCTTGCCATCTTAAAGATGCACCAAAAGAAATGAGGGGGCAAAATGGTGGCAGGTGAGTTGCAAGAGGAAGGCATTGCATTAAGGAGAGCCAAGAGCTAGCTCAGCTCCCAGGATGAGTCTCCATATTTTAAAGGATTATTTTACACATGAATCAGATGGTGTGAAAGCTGCCACAGGAGAGAACTGCTGATCCTCCAGAGAAAGGTACTTCTGGGGGAACATGCAGCAGCAGCAGCATTGCAGGGTAATAGCCCAGTAAGTGGGTGGGCACAGGGAGAATAAAACAGAACAGGGAGAATAAAACAGAACTATTGACTGCAGCAGCAGCAGCAGCATTGAGGAGAGGGAAAGGTACGGGGAGAACTGTAGTGGCTGGCTGACCTGCAGCCATGAGAACACACCCCCTGGCAACACGATGTTGCAGCTGCTGCTCCTTCACCCCCTGAAATCAGGCAGCCACACAGCTGTTTTTGCTGCAATGGATTTTCCTTAGTGTAGACAAATATGGGAGAAGTGGTGATGGGAGGAACATGGGATGGCAAGGGAAGATGACAGGAGGCTGATAACTTTGTGCAGTCGACTCCAGGAATCCTACAAAGAAGGCAGCCTGATGGGACTTTCAAAACTTTGTCTTGAAGAGCCTTCCGCTCCAGATTACCAGATGGGGCCATTTTGCAAAACAAAGGAAAGCCCTTTGCAGGCACCCCAGTTCAAGGAACGATCCAGGGAAACTTTTTTTAGCTTAGCCTTTCCCAGCCTCTGTTGTCTTGGACTGCAAGTTCCATCATTCCCAGGGAATGGTCATGCTGGCTGAGAATTTTGTGAGTTGCACATCTGGGGGGCACAAGATTGGGGAAGGCTGCATGAGCTAGGAAGATACTTTTCATTGCATGCAGGTACTCCACAGCAATACACTTAAGTATGCTTGAAGAATGTTGTTAGAACTTACCAAGGGGAAAAGAGCACCAGGCGGATATCCAAGACAAAAGACAACTGCAGTTGTTGAACTAGCTAGGTAGACAGAATTAATGAGGAGGAAAGGCACTGGAGCCACTAACTGTACCTAGGGGTGGGGGGACATTGTATTCTACTATCATCATTATTATTATCATCATCACATTTACATAGTTGTTCTTCACTCCTTTGTTTATCCTTTCAACAACAAACCTGTGAGGCAGTTTAGGCTGGGAGTAAGAGACTGGTCCAAAGCCACCCAGTGAGCTTCTTGTCTGAGTAAGGAATAGAACCTGGATCTCCCAGGTTCCCAGTCCAACACTCTGACCATCACAGCACATGCCTCTTAAGAACCCAGTGTGGACTGACTGCCTCAGACCACTTCCGTTCAGCAACGATATGTAGTCGTACTGGGACAGGGTACTTGGCTGACTGTGGAAGACCACCTTAAGCTGCCTTACTGCCATCAAATTCTGACTGGTAGCAACTGCTCAGAACAGGTCATATTTGACATCACATGTTATCAAATTGTTTGTAACACAAATCTTTTTCAACTGATTAAATCTTTTGGCTAACGGGAGATTTGGGAGGTTTCGCCATGATTATTAGTGCGGACAATACAAGTATATCCTGTTCTTTACACTTTGCCATCCTGACCACCCCACTCCCAGGGTTGTTATTTAGAAGAAGGTAAGATGTATTACATGCAATCAAGCATTTAATGCTGTTGCCTAGTCTGAACCTCCATTATTATCCCTACTAAAAAGAGACTTCTCCTATTCAGAGAAGGCCAGCCTGGAAATTTAGGAGCCCACGTCTTGCTGTCATCCTCCAGTTCTTTGTGCTTGGAAACCAAGAGGGCAACTATTCAGGTAGACAAGATCTTGATCCTACTAGAGAAAGAGAATGTCTGTACTTAACTGTGCATGTATTGTTCTAGAATCCAAGGCTGTAAGGACTGGCGCATCCACGTGAGCGGGAGGCAGCTGTGCTGTAATCAGGGTAACCTTGGAACTGTTTGCACAGCCAGCAACTGTGCAGGCACTGATGACAAACTGGTAGGGTGTAAAAACTCTTAAATCTACAAAAGAAAAAACAGGTAAAGGACTTTTCCTATTTGGATTTAATGAAAGATTAAATTTAGTGCAACTGAAAGCAAAACATTCATCTGCCACATCTCTGTTTTTTTTAAAAAAAATCTGCTTTAGCATATCATGAAAAGTTAACATGTTATAGATGTCATTTTGTCATAGATATCAAAATAGCTACTGAACTATAGTAGAAAATGTAATGGAAGAAAGCTACAATTATTTATTTACAACATTTAAATCTGCCCAAGAGCCAATGTTGTCTGGGCAGATTACGAACATTAATTGATCTACATGAAACAGAGATGTCATACTGAATATTTTCAAAGGGTATTTAAGGATCAGTCTTACTCTAAGAGATGTATACAATCTTGCAAAGAAATACTATGAAATATTTCATAATACCTCATTTGTGAAATTTACCTATGGTCTAAAACTTGTGAACCACACAAAAGACAGCAATATTAACACTCAGTTCTTTTAAAGTTTGTCTCTTCACTTTCTAGAATTGTGTTTTTGCTCAATTAATATGTTTCCTTGTCTGTTCCTTGAGTGGGCTCCAGGTCCTCCCCACTTAACACATGCAGAATGTGTGCAATGGTACCCAGGCACACATCTTCCAAAGATGTGTTGTACCATTCTGGGTAAAGTGAGGGACAGGAGAGAAGCACTGTGAGTACAAAGTTGATGGGTTCCAGGATCATGGAGTACCTGGGCTTAAACATGCTTCGTCAGGCTGATTTCTACATCCCATTCCCCTAAAAAAAGCCTACTCTGATTGGTACTCAGAGGCATGAGAACTGTGATCCCAGAGCTAGTATAGAGCCAAATTGACAGTCTAAGTTGGTGGCCACCATGGCCATGTCTTATAGAAGCAATTCCATGGTTTAACTATGTACTGTATGAACTTAACGACTACATTACTATCCGTATGTTTTAAATTAACTTATTTACTGCATATACATCCATCTTTCCCTTCGAGGAATAGTAGCCAACAAACATGGTTCTGCCCCCACCCCCATTTTATCCTCTCAACAAACCTATGGTATCAGATAGGGTGAGAAATAGTGCCTGGCCCAGGGATCACCCAGTGAGTTCACAGTTTGATAGGATTTGATCCTGCTTTCCCCTAATCCAAAATAGTAAACATTTCCATTGACAGAGCAGCAAAGAAAACTGTCCTATGCCAAAGCCCATCTCTGGTCCAACTGCACTGACTCAGAGTGGTTCTCTAAGGTGTCAGACAGGGATCCTTCCCATTCCACCTGGAGGTGCTGGGGATTTCACCTGGGAGCTTCTGAGTGCAAAGCATGTGTTATGCCACTGAGCTATGGTCTCCCTACTTTAAAACAACTAATGACAGGAAATGTTGTTTTCCTGAGCATTTAAATATTAATTCCTAAAATCCACATTTCCCAAAGGTGAAAAGCAAAACCAAATTCTCAGCAGTAATTCCAGGTCTGAGTCATGTCTTCTACCACAGAGGGTTTGGGTCTCGTCAAACCCAGCACCCCTATTTAATGACAACATATACTGTGTAATCTATATTTTTAGCTTCATATATATGGGTGTGTGGATGTATGCATTTGCTAGGTTTTTCTTTCCTTCTTAAAGAATCCTTCATTGTCTTCTATCACAAGGCAAGAATCTGTTACTTCCAAGTATTAGCCATTCAAGCAAAGAAAGGTTGTATATACTGAAGTATTTTCATGCTTTTGGAACACAGAATGGCAAGTAGCCACAATGAGAGAGACAGAGATAGGATGCTAACCCATTAGAAGAGCCCAGGCTCCACAGAAACCACACATTTAAATCAAACCAGCATCAATTACTTGCCACATCTGATCCGATTTGTACTGCTTGTCTGAAATTGACCTATTCAAGTGCTTCATAATGGATCAATTGCTTCAACAGATGCAGGTAGGAACATAAATCTAAATCCTGGGCACTCCCCTAAAACTCTAAGGTTACTGTTTGTCAAGCCCTCCTGATTATGGCATCTTGTTTTCCATTTGCTTGATTGGGTTATTTGCATAAGAGCAAATGTAGGCAATTGTGGACATGAAAAACACTCTGAGATGCATTAGAAATGGATCCATAGGAATTATTCAGTTATGTTATAAGAAGAGGCATCCCAGTATATGGTAACCTCACCGATTAATGTCAAATAAGCTATAATTTACAATAAAGATCACAAATTATATGCCATTTTACCATTGATTTCATACTTTTGTTGGAGGAATTTCATTGATCTCAATTTACAAAATGAACCAATAAGCAGGGAATGATTTTCTTTTCATTCTTCAGAGAAATTGAATTTTTTAAATCACATTATTACTCACTCTCACATTAGTAAATTAAAAGACAGACATCGCCCTTTCAAAATACGTAATATGTTACATGTCTTATCCACATTAGACAATTGAGAGATACCATCTTATAATGTAATGGCAAGTCTCTGTCCATTATTCTGTCTTTTTTGAAAGGTTTCATATTATACTTTCCTTGCTAATGAAGAGCATAAGGGCATAAAAAGAGAAACAGTGGATCAGACCAAGGGTCCATCTAGTCCAGTATTTTATTCACACATGTTCAATCAACTGCTCATGGGACCCCACAAGCAGGGATCAAATGCAGCAGTACTTTCCGGCTGGAGTCCCCCACCAACTGGTGTATATAGGCATACAGTGTGTGATACCGGAATAGCACATAGCCATCAGGACTAGTATTCATTGATAGTCTTCTCCTCCAGGAAATTGTCCAATCTTCTTTTAAAGCCCTCCAAATTGGTGGCAATCACTACGTCTCGTAGAAGTGAATTCCAGAGTTTAACTTTGTGCTGTGTTATTTCCTTTTTTCTGCCCTGAATTTCCCACCCTTCACCCAATTCCTGTGTTATGAAAGAGGCAGAAAAATGATTCCCTCTCCATTTTCTCTACACCGTGCATAATTTCATACACCTCTATCATTTCTGCCTTTACTCGCCTTTTTTCTAAGCTAAATATTCTCAGAAGTTTTCCATACAGGGAAGTTGGTCCAGCCCCTTTAGCATTTTGGTTGCACTTGTCTGCACCTTTTCTAGTTCTATATTATCTTTTTTAGATGCAGTGACCAAAACTGTTCACAGTATTCTAAGTGAAGTCATACCATAGATCTGCAGAAGAAGAACATGATATTGGCAGTTTTATTTTCAGTTTCTCTTCTAATTAACACAGAGTTTGCCCTTTTCACAGCAGCCACAGACTGGGTAAACATTTTCATTGAGCTGTCCACCACAACCCAAGATCTCTTTCTTGGTCACTCACTGCAAGCTCAAATCCTATTCTTACTTTTGTATACTTACATTCATTCTGAACTCTGTTAGGCATGGCAATTTTTACCCTTCCTTAGTGTCTGTGAGGTGTGTTGGTTGCTGGACAGGCAAATAGGACTGAGAGGTGGGTAATCATTGATTTAATGGCTACTGGCCTCCTAAAAGCACTAATGGCTTCCTAAAGCAAGCCAAAGCAGAGAGAGAGTTGTGTGTGTGTGTGTGTGCGTGCACGTGTGTGTTTCGCAAAACAAAGATTCTAAGTTCCCCAAAACAAAGCATGAGCTGTTCACAAACATCATCTTTCCTGATCATGCTGGAAAACAATGTAGGAGGGGAAGGTGAGGCAAATGGGGCCTGCAGCAAAAAGTCCCCACATTGGCCCACCCCCATGCTCACTGTGGTCATATATGCCTTACATTCCATTCCTTCTTTATTTTCTCAGTAATGTCAAATTGCTCTTATTCGCATACATTTCCAAATAAATAGCAACATAATTAAAGCAAACAGAAGAATTACATAAGTGAAGGAGAAGAATATACTAAAAGAAGCACTGAAGGGCTACTGAAAAACCTGGGAAAACTAAATACCTTAGGACATTAGTTATTCTAAGTGGTCAAGCTCTGTGAGCCTGAGGACTGAATTCCATTGCAGAAAAATCTCTTGGGGAAATACTCCAGTGGTGGGGAGTGCCAAAGGAACACGGGAAGGGCCACAATTGCAAAATATATCAGCACTTTTTAGATTAAAGTGCTTCCCACCAAGAACTGAGCCCTAGTGGATGCATTTTAACCCTTAGGAATGCAGGGAAACTGAATAAAAGCCAGGAAACTAGCAAACCCTTGGAGAACAGAAGGGAAAGATTGTACCCTTCTAGGGAAACGGAGCCACAGCAGAGCTGGATTTGGCCTAGACCTGAAGCTGGAACTTTGCTCTAAAGGAAGAGACTGTTTACTACAGTCTCTATTATGATTATGTAACCTCAAGATAAATTAGTGGCTCAAGTTAGCTTTTTCCAACGTATATAACAGCCATTCACTTTTACTGGCTCTCATCTTGCCTAGCTGAACATCTTTCCTTTTCCCATTATTTCCCTCTTCTAGCATGTCCCTTTCTCATTTTCCTTTCCTTTTCTTGCTTTGAATTATTTTGCCCAGACAGGTCAGGGTGTGTATATGTGCCTATATGTGTAAAACACTGCTGCTAACACTTGTGTGTGAACTCAAAATTATCAGCAATGAAGCATGGCTAAATGTCCCTGCATTTCTTATTTAGGTAGACTAGATTGTCAAGACAGGACAATGACTTCATAATAACAGGCATAAGATGGCCATCTCTGAGACTGTAATCCTATATACAGTTACCTGCGAATAAATCTTGTTGAATTCAATAGGACTTACTCTTCTGAACCAGGCACGCATAGTATTTTCATATGAATCTTTATTATTTAGACAAGTTCCTAAACCTGTGTATATCACAAACAACTCCCACTGGTAACAGCATTGTTTCCTGTTTTTGCTATTTATCATGTATATGCCTTCAGATGAATGAAGGAGAAGAGTTATAACTCTGCCCAGGATACAGAGTCAAGATTGCCAGGACTATGGGTTATGGATATTTCCCCTTGGTTAATAGCACATGTGTCGAAACACTTGTAGTCACTGGTTGTGTATGTAGTGCCAC